AAAAGAAGAGATAAACTACGATTATCAGCAGCTGTCAACACCGCAAGTAACAGATTATTGTCAAACACAGCAACTAACTTAAATGCAAACAGACATACACATCCTAATTGACTGGGTGTTCACTATATGTTCAAAGGAGCGACTGACATATATGCATAGCTTTATGCGACTGTTTGTATTTCATGGACAAGTTCGTATGAGCACTTTACATACGTTATGTACAGGTTAAGTTTTCGGCACAGATCATGTGTTCAGCTCTGACTCACAGCGATAGAGGTTTTCACTGAAATGAGGCCACGAGATATGGATAAATGAAAATATTTGATTCTTGAATCTTGTTTATTATTGCTTGGTGCTAACACAGCCCAGGCTCCTCCTGTCATTGTGACACCACAATCTAACAGAAAGGATTCATCAACTGTGTAATCAATTTGATGTTAACAGCTCCTTCATCGGTATGCAGTGCCAAATGCTCAAGGTGAAGTAAGGTAAGGTTAGTTGTTTTTGTGAGGTGTGGCAGACTCCATCAACGTGGCAATAAAATTAAGCATTTTTTTTTTTTACAGTTTTTGGCAATAAAATAGGTCTGCTCGCCGCCTTTAAACGGAGCCCTGAGGCACGTTTTAAACCGATGTTCTGAAGATCTGTGCAAAGCAGGACATGGAAATAGTACAGCGTCTGTCAACGTTATTAAGAATGTTCTTTATTGCCAGATTCTGCAGTTTGACTCAAGGTTATGACATTAACATAATTCAATAATTTATTGTTTTATTGATCAATTAAAACACAATCTAGGGCTTGAAATACTTTATATAGGCTCTTAAAATAAATAAAAGATTAAGGTGACTGAGCCTCCTGGTGACAATGAGGACTTCTGAATGTTTGACACACATTTTTCATCAGCTGCGTGCAAACGCTGGTAGTACCTGTAGATATATTGTGTGATCGAAGGCCTTTTTTTTTAGATTTACAATTCTTACTAACTTCCTTTGTTGGCCTATTTAAATATCTTGCCGTATTACTCATCAAAATACACAGACTCCTGACATGCATCAGTGAATGGAGACGTTTATTATTATCAGCAGGACTCTCATGGTTCATTGCTTGACAAAGTATTTTTCTCCAGTCATGTAACAAAATAAGCTAAAACTGGACGAAGAGGGCTTTGTGGTTGTTGACAGGGGAGTATGTATATAAGAGGATATAATGGGATCCATCAATATCATTAAATACTAATGGAGACTAACGATTCGTGTGTCACAGTGTTTGGAAGCCTTATACGCCGCCGGGTGGGGCCGAACAAACAAAATCAACAAGTGTTCTTACCGGAAAACGTAATCGTGAGAATCGATTTCTTTCCCCTTTTTAGAGCCGTTGAGGATCCCCCCGGTGCCCACCACGGCACAGCGCACGCACCCGCCACTGCCGGGCTTTGGAAGCAGCAGCGGCTCGTTCGGCTTCGGGATCAACTTCACTGCAGGTATCACCTCTGCAGAACAAAAACAAACAAAAACATGCAAAACACAAACACATGAGATGCAGCATCAGGTCACAACAGGAGCTTTTACAACTGTAATCATTATTTTTATGTTAACAATAAAAACCGGTATGAAGTTTAAAACATAATAATGCATTTATTACATGATTATACCGTAAAACTTCTAACAATAACCCGGGGCTAAATCACTAAACTCATCCTGCCTTTAATTGGGGACAGGCCTTTAATTTCTTTAGCGACCTTTGGCTCAGCACAGATGGAAATATTATCCTATTGTTTCTCCTGAGTCTTGTTTATCAAATTTAACGACTAACTAACTGGAATTTCAGGTCGTATTTTCGTATCTGTGGTTTTATACATCCAGTTAATTTAAAAAAACTCCAGACCAGGCCTCTAAAGGAGACCTGCGTCTATCTGGGACTCTGCTTCTATTAGAAGTTTTACGGTATATTTTGTGAGATCTTAATTTTCACCAAAAATTCTGCATCAGTAAACAAATTAATTCGTTCCTAAACCCAAAACAATGAGCTAAAAGACGTTAAAATGTTCCGTAAAACGAAATAAAACTTGCTGATTCAAGTGACAATGTTGTTCATCAACAATGTCTGCACAAATGTTAAAAATAACACATTTAAACCACATGCAAAAACTCATTTTTGGCCCTCAGACTGCATGGGATTAGCATAAAGTGAGCATGTCAACAATAGCCTGCTAGCATTGATGCGTATAGTTTAATGTGATAAAAGTATTGTCACTTTAAAACGAAGCCAGTTACACCCTCTTAAAGTAAGCGAGGAGTGGAAGAGGATGATGGGGCCAGTGCCACCTCAGCCCCCCCTCTGCAAACACCCCTGTTTATTATAGGAGCAGCTTTAAAATACATTTTCTAATCATGATGAAGTTAACAGACCTAGAAAAACAAAACATTTTGCCAAATTTGAGGGAAAAAACTCAGACGTTTAAAACTCATCACTCAGCGTTATGTTGCCAAAACAAATTAGATCAGCAGTTTAACAATATCAGGAAGAAAGAAAATGAATAAAAATACCAATTATCTGATCAGTTACATACACAGATGAAATACAGTCTTGGTTACACTTTGGTCTCTCACACACACAACACACACACACACTACTAATGCGCACCTTCGTATTTGAATCCCATGAAACCAAACGGGTTGTTAAAATGTGAAAGTCGGTTCCACTCGCTCATGTTGAAGTTGTCTTTGTGCAGATAAAGACGTATGTTGGGAAGAAAAGCCTTCTTGAAGCTCTGATCCTCAGATTTGCGCAGAGACTGGGCACACGTCTGAGAATTAAATATTAATTAATTGAATATTAATTAAACAAAACATAGAAAATGTGATGTGAATGTGTTTATCTGGCCACATTTAATTGAAACTCAGTTGATAGAAAAGCCAAACAGGTTGAGAGAGATTACTCATTGATAGGCGATAGGTGTGTGAAAGCATTTAAAGTGGAAACCAAACAGAAAATCCAAGCAGGTCACACTAAAGATACACAGCTGAAGATGTGGCTGTGCAGACACCGGCCCGTGATTACCCACTCCCACAAAAGTTAACACATCCATATCTGCTCTGTCTTATCTTCCTGACTTGCTTACTGTCTGTCTGGGTGGGGCATCCTGGTTATAAACATCCTCAAAATCCCACTGAGGAAGCCTCTGGAAGGAACTCTTGGAGAGGATGGGCATGGGAGTCTCGGCCACGGGGGCACTCGTGGTGGCTGCGACACGGTCGGTTTTTAGCTTTGTCGCCGGGACTGTTTTTGTGGCGTCAGCAATTTTAGGTTTATGTGATGTGGTGAACACAGGAGGAGGTGAAGTTGAGTTTCTTATGATATCCCAGTACTCAAACAAACTGCCTTCACCTCTGTGTCTGAATTTTCCTGAGACAGCAGTCAGGCTGAGTTGAAAATTTGACAAAAGAGTAATAGATTCAATATATATTATATATTATGTGTTATATATTAGGAAGATACAAGTTTAAGTGACTTTAAAATACAGTTTTATACACATTTCTCATTCAAACATCAACAAGAATAGCACAGAAATTGTTTTAGGGTTAAATAATCTTCCAACATACTACAAACACAATTACCTGATGCTTTTTGATAATATCCCGATGATATGATTAAAAGAAAAAAAGTAACTGAGATCACAAACAGCCAAGCAGTAATCCTGAGGTTGGGAGCCGCCATTCCTAAAAGATTTGCTGTCCGGTTAAGAAACAGTGACTCTGTGGTTTGTTTTTCCCTTTCTGGAGACTCTGGCTCGATGGAAAAGCCACCAGAGGTATATGTGGGCATCTTGTCACTGAGGTTCTGGGCAAGGGCTAATGTCAGACAAGAGATAGATAGCACAAGCAAACAGGAACAACGACACACCCTCACATGAGTCACATTGTGGTGGTTTATTACACAATAGAGGAGTTTTTTTTGGAGCGCAGAAGGAACTTCTTCCTTCTTTCAATGAACATACATTCGAAACTCACAAAGAATTAACACATTTTCTTCTTTTATTATAATATGAAAACTATATATTCTTAGTCCATACGATAGCTATACAGCTGTCACGTGCCAGCCCTGGTCCAGACACAGACATTAGAGAAATTATTATAAATAAGTAAACAGCTTACAGTTAGCAGTTAAGTAGTTTTTGGTGTTCCTTTTAAATGTCTCAATCAATTCTGCCTTATATTCCACACCCAGCGCAGCTTATTTTAGTGTCCTCACTGGTTACAGAATTTATTTAGTTAGCTTAATACTCCCACCAGTGGCGTGCACAGACGTCTTTCTGGAAGGGCAGGGGCGGAAAGAAAAAAAAGGGCATATATAGCCGGCGTCCTCACCAGCTGTAGGGGCACTTTACGACACGTTTTTATACTGTATACAATGCGACATTAATACAGCCTTAAAAACAGACTAACTAGACAGACTACTCAGGTTAGTCTGCTGTTAGGATCAGCATCCACGAGAACTGTGTGGATTGTCAACATAGAACTTTGAAGACAAACAGCGACATGGATTTATAAAGGAAAAAACCCCAGGGGTTGGGACACTCCCCCCCCACCACACCACCTCTCAACCAGAAAATGTTCAAAATCAAGTAGATGCATTTCTGTATTCTAGTGATTTTAAACCATAATTACACCAGATAATCCAAACTGGTTCGGATGAGATATAGTTTGGTCAATATAAGATCAACAAAGGGCAAAATAATAAAAGTCATATGCAACAGTAATCGTGTCAGCAGTATTTCTTGTCTAAAAAAAAAAAAAAAATAAGTCCCCCCCCCCTTCTGGAGTTTAATGTATTTCTTCACCAAAGGCTCTGTGATAAAAAAGCACAACAGGGAACAATTACACATTTAAACTATTTATTTGAACAACTCAAAAGAAACCAAACTATGAATTGAATCATGAGAAAAAAGTTGCTGCTTCAATTGCTCAGTCGCCAGGGTGAATCAAGTCTCAAGTCTTTAACACAAAGTGTAAAGTCAAAGTCTCAAGTGTTCGAGGTATAAACCAAAGTCGGGGAGTCAACATTAAACCTGGCGGAAACCCTGATAGTGCAATGCTAAACCAACCTTTAACTTTACTTGCTAGCTTTGAAAAATGCTAATTCCACAAAGACGTAGTGAGGTAGCTCTCCTTAAAACATGCAATATGGCATCTCTACCTAATAATACGAACTTAGACAGGGCAGCTGAGTGTATTTTTCCCACCCAAAGGAGGGCAATTTAGGTATTTTGCCAGCCAGGAGGACCAAATTTAGCCAGAGTTTTTTGGCTCCAAGAGGGGCACTTGAGGGCAACTTTAGCGAAGTGTTTTGGCTCCCAAGAGCACTTGAGGGCATTTAGCACGTGTGTTTTGGCTCCCAAAGAGGGCACTTTAGCAATGTGTTTTGGCTCCCAAGAGGGCACTTTAGCACGTGGTTTTGGCTTCCCAAAGAGGGCACTTTAGCACGCGTTTTGGCTCCCAAAGGGCACTTGAGGGATTAGCACCACGTTTTGGCTCCAAGGAGGGCACTTGAGGGCACTTTAGCACGTGTTTTGGCTCCCAAGAGGGACTTTAAGGCCATGTGGTCTTTGGGCTCCAAGAGGGCACTTTAGCACTGCCGGGTTTTTGTTGCTCCCCAGAGGGTATTGAGGGCAGTTTAGCAAACGGAGTTTTGGGCTCCCAAAGAGCCGCACTTGATGGCAATTTTAGCACGTGTTTTGGCTCCCAAGAGGGCACTTTAGTATGTGTTTTTGGCCTCCCAAAGAGGGCATTTAGCACGCCGTTTTGGCTCCAAGAGGGCACTTGAGGGCAGTTTAGCTACAGTTTTGGCTCCCCAGAGGGCACTTGAGCACGCGTTTTGGCTCCGCATGACGTCCATGGCTCCAACCCACCAATATAATACAATATTACACTGTAACATAGATAGATTTTTGGAATTGAGATCGTCAATAGCAACCCAGGGTACATTAAAATATATCAAAATATACAATAGAATAAAAATTATTTATTATATTTAAATCGCAGAAAGCTGCAGTTTGTTCATCTGTAGATTTAAGAAAAACATGATTTTTTGGTACAGAAAACAACAAAAAAATCTGCATTAATAATGATTGTATGTCTTTTTCAGTGGAATTAAAATTGTGATGACACACCAAATGATGCAGCAGGATTAAGATGACTTACAGTAATATATAGTGAAAGGTCCTGTTTAATGGTGTTAAATAATTCTGTTTAATAAAGTTTATATAAGGGGAACAGGTCATCAGGCTGCTTATATAAGAATTAAAAAGATTTTAATTTTGTAACTTTTTATTTGTTTGTGAAAACAAAAAAAACACTTTATCAGGAAATTTCTGTCACTTAAGAGTCACAAGTAAAGCTTGCTTCATAAAGAAGCTTTTTGAACTTACAAATGGGAGTTTGGTGTTACTTAAAATTTGTTTAAACCAATCCTTTTTTTTAATTAACTTTATGTTATTGCCCTTTTTCAAAGAATACAGAAACAAATCCATGTTGCTTTTCCTGTTTATTATTATTTTTGTGCATTTTTGTGACTCAGTTGAGTTTGATCTACTAGAAGTGTCTGCAGGTGGAAAGCAGCTGTATTTAAGCTACTTAAGGACTGTGCTTCGGTGCAGTTTTGAGGCACTTTGAACAGAGAAATATTGGACGTTTGTTTCTCTACTACTTGTATTCGACAGTTAAATGCTACTTTGCAAACTTAGACAGGCAAGGGAGACAAAAGGGGATGACAATGACGAATGGAAAATGTTCACACCTGTGCATTAAAACACACCATTCAACACCCAGAATAATAGTTTAATACAAAGGGAACAGGTCTTCTGTCAGTGCTGCTATTTTAAAATTCTCTAACATAAACATCATCCCAGCTGTAAACCACATATTCCAATATATATATAT